CGCAATAATGCCTGTAGGCAATCGCTCTGTAGGCAATTTGAAATGTGGGCTATCGGGATTGTGTGCAATAAGTGTGTGCAATCGAACCTGTAGGCAATCGTTTTGTAGGCAACTGGAGCCCTCCCCATAACAATACATATAATTATTGGACTGGTTGCTGCATTAATTTGTTCAACAGCTACCGAAGCGTTTTCATTAACAAACGCATTACATGCTTTTGGTTTATTTAAAGTTGCTAGGTAAATGCATTGCCTTTTTTTTACATATTTTACTTTTGTTTCTTTACTTTACTCACAATTCTATTAATTTTATGATTAAATTATTTAAATTAATATTATATTTTTTTATTCAGTATTTTAATTAATGTTCCTTTTTGTTTTTACTACTATATAATATTTTATTACTGTTATGACTAATAATCATTTATAAAAGATTTTATTTATTAACTGATTTATTAACTGATTAATTGTATCAACATAGCTTTTATTTTATTTGTTTTTATTATTGAATTGTATTTGCAATATATAATTAATATTTGTAAAGATAGTTCTAAAATGCTGTCAATAATAGTGATATAATTTTATTGAATTCATGGCAGGTATATTACTTTTTATTGTATGTATATATGTATATTTGTATATATATAATATTAAAATTTTATATACGTTAATTTAACATTTAACGTCTTTCTAGTTATCGTATGAAACACATATCAAGTGGAATTAATCCGCATATGTGTGTGACTAAAAAATGTGCCATTTTTCGTAATAGAATAATCGCTGCGGCGGATTTTCATAGAAGAGCGATCGAGTTAGTACCTAGCTTAAGCTATAAGTTAATAAATTAAAATTGCCTCATACACAAATAGTATTGGCGAGAGTTCAAAAGTGACTGTTTATATCGTAATTATGGATATATATACATATATTGATCAGTACAATACTCATTTCAAACTGCAATCTAAATAATTGTGCATGCGTGAAATTAAACTTATATTTTAAACTATATCTTAAAATAATATTTTAAAACATTATGCATTTAAGGCTTTTGGGTACTCGTCGCGGCCATGTTGGAATGTGACGTCAGAAGCGAGAAATGACACGTTGAAAATTCTTGCGTAGTATTTCCAAATAAAAAGATATTTGCTTAAAATAACACTACATATCACTTCAGCACACTTCGAAAATATTCCAAGTTGAGTTAAAATGAATGTAATACGAAATCTAGTTATGTGCCTGCGCACAAGCCTGCATCGTATCACATTCATTTTACGGCTGTTTATTAACTCTCAAGGGAAAGGGGTAGACTTAACTTCAACTCGGAATATTTTCGAAGTGTGCTGAAGTGATTTGTAGTATTATTTTAAGCAAATAGCTTTTTATTTGGAAATACTACGCAAGAATTCTCAACGTGTCAATTCTCAACATTTCTCGCTTCTGACGTCACATCTCATGAGATGGCGGGAAAGAGCCCAGGAGCCTTAACTGATCTGTTGAAGGAATATATAATAACATAAAATATTTTATTCTATAAGATTTTCTGAATTATTGAAAGGAAGTTTTGGACGAGCATATTTAATCTTATTTGTGTTGGGTGTGTGTTCGGCAAGCATCAATTTATTTAACGTGAGATGTAATATCTAACGTATAGCATTTTATTTAGTTGTAATTTTTTACAAATTTCCTGAAAGAATCTATTATTATATATTTAAAAATATCGGCTTTTTTCATATAAATGGCACGCTGTTGGTTGTAGCTATCTAGGATAATAATGGCAGAAAGAGACAGTTTGGAAATTATTAAATCTATCTTTTTACTGGCCGCTCATATTATATATTTAATACTAGCTAATTATGCTGGGCAAGAATTTATAAATGGTGATACGCATTTCTATCGTACGATGTAAGTTATACGATTGCAATTATATATTTTTATATAATATTTTATTACTTCTTGAGTCGTACACATTATTGTAATCATTGTTGTAACATGTACTATTTAGTATTTTGCTTGCAATTATATAGATGTAATACGGAATGGTACAATACTCCGTTAAAAACACAAAAATTGATACTTTTTTTAATGCAAAAGACTACAAAATGTTACAAAGTTGACGCCGGTGGTATGTTTGATCCCTGTTTGGAAGGTTTAGCCACAGTAAGAAATTTTACTAAATTGATGGAATATATCCATTAATCATTCGTTAATCATATCGTGTCGATTAGTTACATAAAAAATATTTTTTATTTTAGAGTTTAAGTATGTCGGTTTCTTACTTTATGGTTCTTTACTCTGTGTAATTATGTGGTCAAAACTACAAAAATATGTTTTATTAATATTTTGTAAAAATTGAGATACCATAAGAGATACCTAATATAATAAGCAATAAAGTTAATAAAATGAGAAATTATTTAATTTTGAAAAAATAATAATAACTGAAACAGAAGCGATAAATCTTACGACAAAGAAGATATTATTTTCGGTTGGGCTGGAGTTTGGTAGCCTAATTATATTTCTATATGAATAGAAATGTTATCAAAATCAAGCCTAACCTGGAAAAAGAATGAAATCCTCTCTAATTAATATTAAAAAATATTTTCTAATTTTTTAATTAAATTATTTTTGCCATTTTATTTTATTATAATAATTTTTATTATATTTTCGTTAGAAATACATATGCAAATGATAATTTAGTACAGGCAATTGAAATATTTTGATTAGATGTAAACTTATTAGAAAAAATATTATAAATGTGTAGTTCTAATTTGTTATTTTTAAAGACTTAAATAAATTCTATTAAAATAAAATATTGTATTTAATAACAATAACACAAACTGTAATAATAACTTAATAATTAAATTACCTGTTTTTGAACCTATCTTCAAGCGTAATTTTTTTAATCTATTTTCAAAATTTACTTTTAAATTTTAATTCAGTTTTATTTCAGTCATATTACTATCAGCTTATATTGTGATATCAAGCAGTTTATTATCTATTGTGCTGTCCCGTTGACTGTCTGCGCAACACTAAACTCTCGTCCCTATAGATTAAAGCTACAAGCGAATTGCGCTTGCGCCGAAATAAAATGCAAGGAAAATAGAAAATATTTACGATATTATCTTCCTGAGAACAAAATATGTAGTTGAACGCCTGCAAGTCATTTTAATAATTTGCCACTTATCTATACAATCGAACTTATAGGCTTGCTGTAGAAAGAAATTGAGCCTATTTTTTTCTGACCTGACGATTATAAGTAATTTTAAAATAACACCATCATTTGTGAAATATTTTCTTGCAATACGTTATAAAGAATTATAAGAAAAAATACATTAGAATTTGTATTGAAGTATGTGCAACTCAAAGCACTACATAAACTTGGAGAGCAGAGATATTTCTAGTATTGTAAGAAATGGACTTTAACGGTGACTATTACTACAAACTTAATCGTATTTTTTTGTCAACTATTGGCTTATGGCCGCATCGCTACATTACGTTGAGGCAAATCCAATGCGTCGTATCGTCGTTTATTCTAATATCAGTAACATTTTTTCAGGTAGGATAATAATTTACTTATTTATTTCTATTTATATAAATTTTGCCGAAATTATTTTTAAATTTTATACATATTACATATATTATCAATAAGTAACATCTTCTCTGTAAATTTTTTTAAATTGTTTTATTTAAATATATTTCATCCTTTAGATATATGAAATACCTAAATAGATATATAATTTTTAGTTACTAAGATTGATTACGACGAAATATGATGTGGATCTCGTTTTAAGAGTTTTATCATCCGCTTTGCCATTCATGTTATTTACTGTAAAATATATCACTTTTTATTTTGTCACAGAAAATGTAAGTATAGAAATAGTATTTATTAATAATTTTTATAGATTATTGTGTCATATCTCAATATCGTAATGCCAAGAAATTTAAATTGATTTTGAAAACAATTAAGAAAAAAGAGAACTATGAATTACAAGCTTTTACAAATAGCAATGATGTGTACTAATTGAAAACATAGAAACTTTGTTAGTCATACTTATATTTTTCTCAAAATTTTTTTTGTTCAGAGAAAGTCTAAAATAGAACCAGTATGAAAAATTATCCGAAATAATTTATCAATTGAACTCAATTTAGACTTGATTCAATAAAATCTGAATTGAACATTTACACAGAGAGAAATATTTCTTTACATTCGTTATTTCCATTTGTTTGGATTATATTTATTTCATAGAAACAAATTTACTTTAAGTAAAACATTATTTTGTTGAATAGAAATTTTGTAGTTTTATTACATTAAACCATATTGTTTAATAGAACAAACACGATTGTTTGAAAGAATATGTTTCGATGAAAAAACATTTTCTTTGGTTACAATAAATGTAATTAGCGTTTTCACCGCTAGGCGGCTGCTAAACTCGTAAGTCAAATTCGACCAGAGACCGTATATAAGGCCCCACAGTAAAAGCGTCTATCACTCGCAATTGTACACATCAGTGTACAACTTGGAATCTAATATCACACCGGTCACTCGAGTGATGGAGATATGACAATTATTTATTATTTATTTATTTATATACGTAGCAGTCAACCGATTACTACATATATCATATATAAATAAATAAATAATAAATAAATGTTTAAGACATTTTTTATAAAACATTGATATTTAAATAAAACAATAGTATTATTAAAGCAAAGAAAATATGTTTTTCGTTTCAAACAATTTTTTTATTTAAGACAAAGATATATATTCTTTGAAAAATCAAACAATTGCATTTTTTAGTTTAAACACTGATTCGGTTGGACTATTCCAATGCATAAATTTCTTTAGATTTAAGAAAATTTATTAAATCTAAAGAAACATTTCTCTCTGTGTACAGTTGAAGACAGTTTCGGAAACTCATCCTTAGTGATAAATATATTTCAGATCTGACCGACTAATAAATGCAGCAAAATTTTGATTTTTACTTTAAGACATCTTTAACTTAATACGAATATATTACAAAAGAAAGAAGTTTTCTTTTTTTTATGTAAGACGTTGCAATAAGAAATTATATTATTTTTTTATTCTCCTCTATTATCAATAACAGATAAAGGAATTAATGCAACAAATTCACAATGATTGGAACGCTTTGAAAGATAATAACGAGCTTAAAATAATCCATCGATATGCAAAAGCGGCAAGACTATTCACTACAAGTCTAGCAAGTAAATGAATATTTTCATATAGTTAACACTTTGAATGCCGGACTTAATTCGCTTGCCTTTCCAGTAAGTCAAATTTTTACTATTGTATAGATCCATATCTCGATAAAATATTATATAATATAATTGCATTATGTGAAATTAGTATTACACTTAATTTATTACTATAGATTTTCTTTAATATTAATTTTATTTACAGAATTACAAATGTTATTTTTTACGAGTTTGATACATTTTTTTAGTTTGGTAGTGCCGGTCAGCGTCGGTCATCGTGACCAGTACGGCATTCAATGTGTTAATGAATATACCATCTTTCATGTACTAATATTTTTATTTCAATCTCAAGCATAATTTTATTAAATATATATATATAATCATTTATGAAAATATTACAATATCAATAATGGCATCAAATATTTTATACTAAAAAATTTAATTTTTATTATTCGATAATTTCAGTCTTGATTTATGTGTGTATACTCATGGTTATCTGCATTCAGTATGTGCCAATCTTTCTTGACATCATAATGCCATTAAATAAATCTCGACAAACCGAGTTATTATTTCAAGTTGAATATTTTCTCGATCAGGAGAAATATTTCCACACGATTCAATTTCATTTAGATGTAGGACTTATCGTCGCTGCGATGACAATCCTGTCTACTGAATCATTTTGTTTAACACTTGCCATACACGCATTTGGAATGTTTAAAATAACTAGGTAAATATCGCATGTCCTTTCAATTGCACCAGATGGGCGGTGTTGCTTTTAGTTTACGTTTTTGTTTCTATAGTTATCGCATGGAACGTATAATCGATAAAAGTGCGCCGAATACATTCGTGGAAAAGTATTACGTCTTTCACAACAATATAGTAACTGCTGTAAATGGTCACAGAAGAGCAATTGAGTCAGTATCATAATATACACATTGAAGTCATATATTGATGTATGTTTTGTATTTTGTTAAAAATATATTATTAAATTTTTATATATATAAATATACCGAAGATAAAAATGTCCATTTTCAATTATTCTTCTAGATCTAATATTACAGAATAAATAATAATGTAACATGTAATTATTGCCTAACTTTTGTAGCTTTATCTCAATTTTTGCATATTTGTCTTATAAAGTATAAAATAATTTTACGGTAAAATAGTTTTAAATTAATTTTCAATAAAACAGTTCAATTTTCTTAGAGTCACATTTATAGATGACTCATTTCTTTTGATTAAAAATAAATAACTTCGTCTAGCTCTTTATAAATTGTTTTATCACAAGAGAAAAGATAAGAATTTTTACAATATTTCATAAATATGATATATTTCGCATGTTTTTAAGATTTTCCGAAATTGTCAAATCAACTTTTGCGATACCTTATTTGGCTTTAATATTGCTTGGAGTGACTTCATCGAGCGTGAATCTATTTCTGGTAACGCAACTTTTTCTATCCAAAAATAAAAACAAAAGTACTAGAGTGTACGAATATAAAGAGAATGAATTGATCTATCAATAAGCATCTTCTTTCGCCAGCTCTTCCAAGTAATAATGTCATCGACCACAATGGATGATTTAATAAGATGTATCATATTTGTCTTCTGCCATTTTATTTATATGTTCTCAACTAATTACGCTGGTCAAAAATTTATCGATCACGACGCTGATATCTACAAAAAGATGTAAGTAACGCAAGTAGAAAATAGCACGTACGTCACCATTTGTACAACCTAATAACATTTTTAACATTGAAGATGCAATATACAATGGTACGATGCGCCTTTGAGAACACAGAAACAAATATTATTTATCATACAGAAAACCATAAAAAGTTATCACATAGATATCGGTGGCTTGTACAGTCCATCATTAGAAGGTTTCACAATGGTAATTAAATTTTTTTCAATTATACAATTCTAATGTTCAGCAAATATGAAAAATTAATTTATTTATTCTAGCTTGCAAGTACGTCACTCTCTTATTTTACTGTTCTCTGTTCAATACAGAAATAATAAGTTATCACAAT